TGAGAGGTTAAGGTAGAAGAGGAGAGGATGAGGTTAATAGAATTACAAAACATGCTCAAGAATCATACAAATTTAAAGATTAATAAATATTACAAAAATTAAGAATACAGGAAATTCCAAGCACGATACAGACAGGAAAAAATTACAAGAAGTGAGATAGCATGAAGAAAGTGGAAGTTTGGATACAGGAAGAGAGGTGAGGATACAGGCAGGGAAGATAGGATACAGGAAGTGAGAGGCAGGATACAGGCAGGGGAAGATAGGATACAGGAAGTGAGAGAGATACAGGAAGGAGAGGTAGATACAGGGGGAAGATAAGATACAGGAAGTGAGAGGCAGGATACAGGAAGCGAGAGGTAGGATACAGGAAGTGAGAGGTAGGATACAGGCAGGGAGATAAGACAGGAAGTGAGAGGTAGGATACAGGAAGCGAGGTAGGATACAGGCAGGGGAAGATAAGATACAGGAAGTGAGAGGTAGGATACAGGAAGCGAGAGGTAGGATACAGGAAGTGAGAGGTAGACAGAAGTGAGAGGTAGGATACAGGCAGGGGAAGATAAGATACAGGAAGTGAGAGGTAGGATACAGGAAGCGAGAGGTAGGATACAGGCAGGGGAAGATAAGATACAGGAAGTGAGAGGTAGGATACAGGAAGCGAGAGGTAGGATACAGGCAGGGAAGATAGGATAAAGGAAGTGAGAGGTAGGATACAGGCAGGGGAAGATAAGATACAGGAAGTGAGAGGTAGGATACAGGAAGTGAGAGAGGTAGGATACAGGCAGGGAAGATAAGATACAGGAAGTGAGAGGTAGGATACAGGAAGTGAGAGGATAAGGCAGGGGAAGATAGGATACAGGAATTGAGAGGTAGACAGGAATGAGAGGTAGGATACAGGCAGGGGAAGATAAGATACAGGAAGTGAGAGGTAGGATACAGGAAGAGGGAAGATATGATACAGAAGTGAGAGGTAGGATACAGGCAGGGAAGATAGGATACAGGAAGTGAGAGGTAGGATACAGGAAGTGAGAGTAGGATACAGGCAGGGAAGATAAGATACAGGAAGTGAGAGGTAGGATACAGGAAGTGAGAGGTAGGATACAGGCAGGGGAAGATAAGATACAGGAAGGAGAGGTAGGATACAGGAAGTGAGAGGTAGGATACAGGCAGAGGAAGATAAGATACAGGAAGTGAGAGGATAAATACAGAAATTGAGCTAAGGTACAGGAAATGAAGGATAGGATACAGTTAATAAGTTAGGGCTACAGAAGGTACAAAAGAGGATAAAGGAAGAGAGGGTTAGGGTACAGGATGTGGGATGCAGGATAGAGACGGGAGAGTTTAGAATAAACAGTAAGAAATATAACTGATAAAGGGTTAACGAAATGAGAAGTTGGGTCGGTAGAAAGACATAGGAGAGGATAGAAGATTAAGAGAAAGAGAGAGAGAACAAATATGGAATATCAAGAGAGAGGGAGATAGAGAGGATAAGGATAGGGGAACAAGAGAGAGAGAGGGGGAGGATAGAATATCAAGAGAGAGAGACAAGATAAAGATGGTAGATCAAAATAAAGAAAGAGAGGGAGGATAAGGAAGGAAGACCAAGAGAGAGATAAGGATGGAAGATAAAGAGAGAGGATAAGGATGGAAGATAAAGGAGAGGATAAGGATGGAAGATAAAGAGAGAGAGAGGATAAGGATGGAAGATAAAGGAGAGGATAAGGATAGAAGATAGAGAGAGAGGATAAGGATGGAAGATAAAGAGAGAGATGGGGATGGAAGATAAAGGAGAGGATAGGATGAAGATAAAGAGAGAGGATAAAGATGGAAGATAAAGAGAGAGAGAGGATAAGGATGGAAGATAAAGAGAGAGGATAGGATGGAAGATAAAGGGAGAGGATAAGGATGGAAGATAAAGAGAGAGGATAAAGATGGAAGATAGAGAGGATAGATGGAAAATAAAGAGAGGATAAGGATGGAAGATAAAGAGAGAGGATAGGATGGAATATAAGAGATAAGGATGGAAGATAAAGAGAGAGGATAGGATGGAAGATAAAGAGAGAGGATAAGGATGGAAGATAAAAGAGAGAGGATAAGGATGGAAGATAAAGAGAGAGGATAGATGAAGATAAAGAGAGAGGATAAGGATGGAAGATAAAGAGAGAGGATAAGGATGGAAGATAAAAAAGGAGAGGATAAGGATGGAAGATAAAGAGAGAGAGGATAAGGATGGAAGATAAAGAGAGAGGATAAGGATGGAAGATAAAAGAGAGAGAGGATAAGGATGGAAGATAAAGAGAGAGGATAAGGATGGAAGATAAAGGGAGAGGATAGGATGGAAGATAAAGAGAGAGGATAAAGATGGAAGATAAAGAGAGAGGATAAGGATGGAAAATAAAGAGAGAGGATAGGATGGAAGATAAAGAGAGGATAAGGATGGAAGATAAAAGGAGAGGATAAGGATGGAGATAAAGAGAGAGAGGATAAGGATGGAAGATAAAGAGAGAGGATAAGGATGGAAGATAAAGAGAGAGGATAAGGATGGAAGATAAAGGAGAGGATAAGGATGGAAGATAAAGGGAGAGGATAAGGATGGAAGATAAAGAGAGAGGATAAGGATGGAAGATAAAGAGAGAGAGGATAAGGATGAAGATAAAGAGAGAGAGGATAAGGATGGAAGATAAAGGAGGATAAGGATGGAAGATAAAGGAGAGGATAAGGATGGAAGATAAAGAGAGGATAAGGATGGATGATAGAGAGAGAGAGAGGATAAGGATGGAAGATAAAGAGAGGATAAGGATGGAAGATAAAGAGAGAGGATAAGGATGGAAGATAAAAGAGAGAGGATAAGGATGGAAGATACAGAGAGAGAGAGAGAGAGAGGGGGGTGGATAAGGGTAGAAGATGAAGAGAGGAGAATAAGAATGGAATATCAAGAGAGGGAGAGAAAGGATAAGGACAAGAGGAGAGAGAGAGAGAGAGAGAGAGAGAGAGAGAGAGAGAGAGAGAGAGAGAGAGAGAGAGAGAGAGAGAGAGAGAGAGAAATAAATATGGAATATCCATATGGATAAAGATGAAATCAAGTAAAAAGAGAGCGAGAGGATAAGAATGGAATATCAATGAATACATTGAGAGAAAGAGAGTGAAGAATAAAGATAGAAGTTTAAAAGAGAGAGAGCGAAAGAGGAAAGGGATGGAATAACAAAAGAGAGAGAGAGAGAGAGAGAGAGAGAGAGAGAGAGAGAGAGAGATGAATGAAAACCCGAGATAAACAATTAGAAAGGGGCAACGAGGAGGAAGGAAAGTAAGATAATGAGGAATGAGGAAGAGAGATAATTGTGAAAGAAAATGGAAGACTATAAATATGGTAAAGAAAAAAAATGAAGACGAAACTAATGAAAATATTAATAAAAAAAGATTCGTCATGAGGATTAAATGGAAATGTAATAGGAATAAATGTAGAGTAGAAATAAATAAAACCAAAAAGAAGAAAAGGAATAATAATGACTGGGAGAAAACGGGATGAGAGGAGAAACTTAATAGAAACATACACACGGAAACAGACAGACACAAATAATCAAGTAAACAAACAGAACAAGAAGACACACACACGCAAACAAACAGGTCAGCAGTCAAACACTATAACACTTAAACTACAAATAGATTTTACGAAAAAAAAAAATGTGATGTTCTAAGAATATCCCAATAGAGACAGTACTGTATGTGTGTCTTGTTGACCCCATACCAGGCAGGCACTACTTAAGGCACAAGACAAGGGGGGTAGAGAGGGAGGGAGGGAGGAGGACCTGGGGGTGAAGTTCATGCCGGGTTGGGGAAAGGGGTGAGGTGAAGGGCGCCCAGTACAAGTGAAGATAATAGACATAAACAAACCTCAATACACCTGAAGTTAACTAATAGCTGGTTGGCGTGTTCCTCTTGTCTACTGTAGGTGGGGGAAGAGGAGGAGGAGTGGTGGTAGGTAGTTGTTGGTCATTCTGTTGGGAGTTGGCAGATACAGGTCGTCAAAAGCTACAGGAATGTTTCAAAGGTAGTGTGTGTGTGTGTGTGGTGTTAGGGCAGAGACACAAAGACAAACCTCAAAAAACACTTCTTGTGGAAAATAATTAATGTTATATACGTACTGAGTATTTCTCTCTCTTACCTCAAGGGTTTAGTGAGGGCTAGATATGGCTATTTGAGGTTCCTATGTGAGATAATGGTTAGAATTCTTTCCTTTTTTTTCCGTGATTTGTGTGATGAGAAACGCGAAGAAACCACAGGAATATCTAAAGGTAGTTGATTTCTTTGGTTTGTTAGAGTAAAATAATAAGGCCATTCTCTCGATCTCTGGAGGAACTAGAGGTTAGGAATCCATGAGTGGTGGATACAGACACTTGAGTTTTTGTCTAGATTAGAAATTAGAATCTTTAAACAAATCTTTGTGTTTTGTCTTCCGAAACTAAAACAAACCATAGAACACTTGAAAACAGCAATACACTACTACGTCCCTCTTGTCTAGGGCTAAATATGGCAAGTTGTCATGTTTTGTGAAAGATAGATATGGCCATTTGGGGTCTCCTAGGAAATTTAAGTTAAATTTTCATATTCGAATACCACCGTTTGGGATCTGGGGAGGAACCGAGGCATCTGTGTTAGGTGGAAGCCATCTTAACTGAACCAGAGACGGCTAGTTAGGTCTTCAGGGAGAAATCAAAGCTAGAATCTCAAACAGATTTCGTGTGGTTTGATTTATTGATTATATATTTTTCTTCTTCCCAAAAGCCATATCAAATCCTCTTGAGTTCATCAGCAACAGGGGGAGGTCGAAGAGGGAGTGTTTGTTCCAATACACCAAAAGGACACCGAAACAGGTTCATTTTTTGTACAATCGGGCATGCAGGTAAAAGCACTTTGGGGGGAGGTATAATCTTATAGACGTGAGCAAGAGAATAATTAATAAAAGCGTCGGGGGTATGTATGTTACAGGAGATGGAAATACGGAAGAAAATCACAGATGTTTATTTTATGACTTTCAAGTTGATAGCAGGAAGTTCACTTGTGGGTGTGGAGGGTTTTGGTAGGGGGGGTTCCTCTCCCGGCTGGCAGGAACCGCCACAGGTAACAGATGGTAACAGATAGTAACAGGTAAAGAACAGGGTGATAATAACAGGTGGGATGACGGGATGAAGATTAACACAGAAGAGAGTGATAGGTAGATGTCAACAATTACGAAATATCCACAGGGAGGGTGGAGAGTGTCACAGAGGTTCGAGGGTGATGATGGGGGATGAGGAGGTAGTGAGGTGGTGTTGGGAGTAGGAGAGGAAGGAGGACGTCTGCGGGCCAGGCTGAGGGGGAGGGTTGAAACGTAGGCCCATACCATTAACAACAAATAACAGCGCCAGCACGAGCAATTAACAGCACCTTCTTCCCTCCACCATGCACTGATACGCTAATTGAAGCTACCCCAGGCGAACGTTCTCGCCCGTCTTCTGCCTGCAGTGGCATTCTTTTACAATACGAGGAGTAGAGTTAGCGAGCTGGTAGGGAGTTCCCCAGGATGCAGGAAGAGAAGCAGCCCCTCGAACATCCACGTCTTAAGAAAGATCAAGATGCTGGCGACTTTGTATGTACAGGAGAATTCAGTTTGGTATAAGACAGTTTAAAAGGTAAAGTACGAAGAATTTCTTATTCTTTTTTAGTTTTGCAATTACAGAAAGATATGAGTAGCTGTCGTACGCAATTTTGGAAAGAGAGTCAACAAGACATTACTGAAATCTAGGGAACTATTTGTAACGATAACCAGTCCGGCAGGTGCACTGTACAGCAGCTCTGAAAACATCATCAGTAGAGGGGACAGGTGGGATGGAAGAGGGTGAGACCTGGGATGTGAGATGAGTCTCAGGTAGCCAGTACATGAACGCCAGCTGGAAGAAGATACCAGCTATGGCTAAGAAGCCAGATGGCTGAGGAAGAAGCTGGAACTAGGATGCCAGGTGACTTAGTAGACCAGCTGGGGATGAAGGGAGCCAGTTGGGGATGAGAAAGATCATTTGGCGCTAGAATGCCAGGTGGCTGAAGGAGGCCAGATGGGGCTAAAATGCCAGGTGGCTGAGGGAGACCAGATGGGGCTAGGAGATGACACGACCACGGGATGTGACGCGACCCTGTCTGGAGGCCGGGTTGTGCTGAGTGGAGAAACATCAGAGAACATTAAAACGACGAAATACAACGAGGCGGATCATCTATAGTTCACGGTGGTTATAGCCTCACACAGAGTCTTATAGCAGTATTTCTCTCTTCCTATCTGTCTATCATTTTACTGTTTCCTGTCTCCCTACCTGTAACTAATAGTCAACATTCCCAACAAATTTACTTGGTGTTTTCTACCCAAATTTGTGCCTAACTGTTAATTTTCTTAATATATTCTTTTATCTGCTCAAAGATGCCCTTTCAACTCAGGACTGTGACAGGTGTGTGCTAACATATTGTTTACTAACAGCTGAGGTTGACAATCATCTCACCTCTGTAGGTCGACGACGACCTTGTTGACGCTGATGAGGTCTGGCCTGAGCCCTTCCCGGTGATGGAGCCCTCTGTCTGCTGCCTCGTGCAGGAGACTGAACGACCGGGGCCCTGGGAGCTTGGGGCTGAAACACGGGGGTTTGGGGGGCTGGGGACTCGAATAATGGAACTCTGGAATCTGAGGGCTGGAAGGCTGGAGCTCCGGGAGTGTCTAATACTGAGAAGTCTTGAGCAGAAGGTAGAGGTGCCTGGGACTCGAAGAAGCTCTGGGAGGAGGAGGCCTTTAGGGGCTTGAGGTCTGCCGTCTGTGAGGGCTTCAGGCCAGGGAAAACCGAGGGTTTCGGCGCAGCCACCGTTGGGACCTTCAGTTGGTTTTTTGTTGAAATCTTGACCGGTTCAGGAGGCTAGAAGGTGATGACGTCATTATAGGTATGGGAGCACGACAGATGTAAACTTAACATAGTTCAGAGATACACACTGTAAGGCTCTGGTGTCAACATTTAGATGGGAATTTAGCATTACAGAAAACTTGTATATATTACCTAAAGCTCTTCAAGATATCAAATCAGCGACTTATTAAAATACAAAAGAAAAGGTAATCATTCACAGGTGCTTTATCGAGGTATCAGTGTGGTGTTCTTAGTGCATCAGATGTATCGTGTAGTCAGGGTCCTTTCATCAAGACCGCAAGGAGAGGATGCAAACGCTTATCGTATTAATACTATTGAGTGAAACACGAGAAATTAAACTTTGACGAACACGACAGATACGTACATAACAACAGCTTGGCGAAAACGAACAAGATAAAACAGCTTATCAGTCGACACTCAACTAGTTAATAAACACATGTAACTACCCAACCACCCACAACACCAAACAAAAACAAAAATTTATTCATAAGTCAATTAGGCTATCTAGTTATGATTGCATGAGCGATTAAATGAATTTGCATATGTAAATTGGTTGTTATTCATCTGTGCGTGATCTCCATACCTACACTGGTGAATACGTGTGCGTGCAGGAGCGTGTATACATGTGCGTGTGTATGTCCCCTATTACATCTCTCTTTGGTGGCACTAATGAATGAGCGTGAGGATTTTTTTTCAACATCCAGAGTGCGTATGTCAATGAGGGGGGAGAAGGGGAAGGAAGAATAAAGGGAGAAGGAAAGAGAGAGGGGATAGGGTAGAGAGGGAGGAGGAAATAGGGAAAGGAAAGGGGTAAAGGGAGAGAAGGACGCATAGGACAGGAGAGGGTAGGGAAGGAAGAAAGATAAGGAAGGAAGGGAGGAAGAATGGAGAGAGATAACACAGAACACCAACTAATAACACGAATGATAGATCCATAGTTAACAACCAACACAGTAATTGAGAAAGAGAGAGAAAAAAGAGAAAAGAGAGAGAAAGAGAGGACACCTGTCACACGTCGTTTCACCCTGTCACCCGCCAGTCACCTGCAGTTATGACACAAAAGGCGTGGTAAGGTGTGTTTCTGCCGTGTAATGATAGTGTCACTGAGGCCGACGTGACACTCCGCCACACACACACAGGGGATTATGTTTACACCCACCCTCGTGTATTTTTCGTCGATAATTATTTAGATATCACAAGGTTTACATTCTCTACCTGTTTTGATTGCCTGCTCTTACTTGTGTGTGTGTGTGTGTGTGTGTGCGTAGCATGATTAACTCACCTTGATGGCCGTGGTGAAGGTGGTAATGAGGTGGCAGCAGTCGGTGAAGGAGGCACAGCAGTACTCCGGGAAGAAGAGGTCCTTACTCACCAGACTCGAGCATTTCTGTCTCCACCAGGTAACGAAAATAAACAGAAGAATAAGAATAAAATAAACAAGTGGACGGATTAGGATAAATAAACGTAGGATTGATGACAAGGATGACGTGTCACACACTCACACACTCAAACACTTTCTCATCATCCTCTCTTCTCATTATCAACATCCTGTCGTATCATGCAGTTTAGAAAGAGACAGTGATGCATGCAAAAACAATTTATATCTCTCTCTCCCTTTCCCTCTATATATCTCTCTTTAGACACATGAACATAGAGAGAGAGAGAGAGAGAGAGAGAGAGAGAGAGATTTTCATGACTTTGTACGATCATGACAGAAGGACAGACTCACCTATTAACCGTCATGCACGAGAGGTTATAGTAAAGCACACCAAAGATAATGTATGTAACTCCGACACATATAGACTTACTGCCACCAGATGTGCTGTTGTTTACTCCCAACGTGTTAAGGATCGTGTTACCCCCAACGTGTTCCAACAACACTCTCTCTACTACGATGGGCGTTTGTCCTTTTGGGGTTTTTTTTTTAAGTGAATGTGCGGCTGCCTTGCTTGTTTTCCCATGTGTTCTAGGTGTTATTTGTCTGGAGGAACGTGTTCTGTCTGGAGAGGAGAACCACATGTAGATACAACTCCTGGATGACGGGCGAGGAGGGACAACAGTGAGATATGTTCATTATTCAGGTGTATGTGTGGCGGTAACTTTCTCTCAAGGGATATTGGTGAGGAGGGTGGAGTGAATTACATATTGATCTATCTTCTAATTATCTCTCTTATTTGAATTTCTGTCTATAAATATGTCAGTCTGTTTAGCTATTTATCTGTGTTTCTACTTATCCTTATATATCTCCAGAACTTTAAAGGGGTGTATCTGGGACTGTTATCTACGTCATTCATTATGTGGTATAGTAGCATTTTCCTTTTACAATTTTCTCCCTCAGTCAAGAATAACATGTAATATAATCTACACTCCGTCTCTGATTATAAAAAAAGATTAGTTACTTACTCGTGTTTCTAAAGTTAGTATTGTTATGAAGCAGACTCGTACCACTACTATGTGCAAATTACTATATCATATTAGGTGCATATTGAGTATAACTGGTAAAAGCCCACTATTTCTTCAATGTTTTCTATGCTCTATACAGTAAATCTCTCTATGTAACTCTATAGCTAAAGCAGACTGCCTAACACCTGTACCATCATCACCTGTTAATATATATACACCTCACCTTGCAGGCCTGGAAGTACTCGTCGCAGCAGGAGTTGTAGGCCTCGCAACACTCCGGCAGGTGGGAGGGCTCCACACTACTACAGGAAGAGGAACACCGCTTGCATGCGTCGTCCCCAGGCTGACAGTGTACAGCCTGACGACTCCAGCGACTCAACGGCGTCAACCCAGAGCCCAGCGTCCAGCCAACACCGTCAACACCAACAGGCAGCCGTACATCCTCATCCCGTCC